GTTCAGTTAGGGTCCGCATTTTTATTCATTGACATGTAAACATTTACTTCTATTTTATAAGTTCTTCTTTCCAGTTGTTTTTGTGTACACTTTACTCATGGAAAGATTTAAAATATTCCAAAAGTTGTTTTAAACTACCACATGGTTCCCGAACTTTGGCATTTAGTGGACATCTGTGGGGGTTGCAGCAGGTCGTAGATGTTTGAACTTTTGACAGTTAAGCGGTGAGGAAAATGAATTATTCAAAGATCAATTTTAAGGGGGACATTTCAAAGGCCCACACTGTTTCGTAACTGGGCAACCAACAACCGCCAATGAAATGAAGCCAAACAAATATGAGTCACAAACTTTCCACTGCTCATTTCTAAAGCCAAATTACTAGAAAGTCATTTTTGTCAAAACCCACAGTGCATAGTTTGCAGGCTGGACTGCAATCCTGATCTCATATCGAAGTCTATGTGGCATTAGCAGCCAGGTTAGGATACCTCTCCATCATAAGTCGAGCAACATTTCTGTTGAAATAGCGCTTGTCAATGGCGGGCAGGCTTGAATCCCACCCGAAACGCTCCCTTTCGTCCTCTCGTTTCCACAGCCGTTCCTCTAAGCTCATGTCTCCAAAGCTCTTCATTTGAGCTTCCAGTTCGGATAAATTTATGTGAAGATCTAACATCTGCGACAATTTGTTCGTTTTCCTTGCGATTGATTTTCCAAACAATTTTGGCATGTCGCTCGCACCCACGACACTGAATTGCGGTGTGGGCTGTTTCTTATCACCTTTTCCGCGTTGGTCTTTTTCGGCCTATTAAAACGAACGTAGAAAATGATGCTAAGCATATAGGATTGTAGAAAAACGTGTTTTAATTACCTGAATAAAAACTTTAATCACACCACGTGCGGGCCATATAATACCTCAAAAAACACAAACCAAAAGGCGCGCAGATCACCGGTTCTAAATGAAATTTTGGTAGAGGTTTTGACTCGGTTTTTCCAAATTCAGTTTATACATAAGTAATCATTTTGAAGAAAATGTTCTTTGGGATATAACGTAACTTCAATTAATAAATTTCCGAGTCTTGTGCCCCAGTTCGTCTTCGGGCTAACAGGAAATGCGCAATGAACAAATAACATTTCAAACGTGCGAAAAATCAATAGTTATACGGGGTGAGACCTGATTAGTAGTTGTGGTCTCAGTCAGTCTGGGTCTTGCCGCTTTCCTTTCTTCCATCGTTCTTTGAAGTGTTCATAAATACTTTCTAATCGTATGTGCCGGTTGATGCATGCGTCGTCGGAGTGAATGGCCTCAAGAAATTCTCGGCCATTTTTGAATGGACAAACTCCGACGATTCATGTTTTATCCCATGCAAAGGTGTGCCCTGTGTCGAGGCAATGCATAGTCACTTCAGAAAAAGGTTCACGTCTCTTCACGGTCAATTGGTGCTCGTGGATGCGTGTTGAGGCGGATCTTCCTGGTTGGCCACAATATACAGTATCACAACCTCCGCATGGGATTTTGTGGATGACTTCTTTCTTCATTTCACATTTCCTGTTAGTCCAAAGACGAGCTGGGGCAACATACTCGAAAATTCACTAATTCAAGTTACATTATATCCCAGAGAACATCATCTTCAAATTAAAAAGTTCTTGAGGTGCGTGTTTTCCAATTCATACGAATACGTAGTCATGTTTTACTAAGATATCAAATGTATTCCTTCACTTCCTATATTTTTATATCAGGAACCTGCCCCGTGAGCGTTAGTTTTGCATTGTAGTTGTCTATAATTAAGTCAGTACAACGACCAAAACTGACTTCCTGCCAGACTAGTAACCATTTTGTCTATCCGGCTTAAGGGGATAGAACTCATGGATGCATATCTGGCATACCTTCACAATACCGTTTTCTGTCAGAGAGTTAAAGCATTCATTATGAAAAGCATGATGATATTATTAGAAGTGGGGACTTTTAAATTCAAAAACCATGATTTTCATTTAGGATATTTTCGTTTTAACTAAAATACTGCAGTTTCTAGTAATTGGATTTCATTTGCAACAATCTAAAGATGGGTACATGGGCGCACCCCCGATAGGTTGCGGAACATACTCGTCCCTCTGTACCTTGTGAATGACTCTCCGGCCTCGCCAGCAGCCCATCTACCAGTGTTAATACTCCCAATTGGAACTGACGAGAGGACGAGCTCGTAGCGCAGTGGGTTAGAACGTTGGAATCCTAACCGACAGGTCGCGAGTTCGACCCTCAGCTAACGCACCACCCAGAGTTAAATATGACTGGCGGATGACGGCTACTAGACCACAAATGGCTATTACAATCTTCCTTGTTTTTGTTGGTAATGTTCAACTGTAGGTTAGGAAGAGGTGATTTGTGGGCAAATATTCCTCGCTCTTTGAAAGAGCGTACGTACCAGGTTTCCTTTGCATTGTACTGGCACAAAACTGGTAGAGTGAAGGTACTGCCCTCTCTAGTATACAGTTCCGAGTCCTTCTTCGGACACGAACAAGTCAGACCCTGTGCTACTTGGCCTAATATGGCGGGAGAAACCCGACCTGTGCAAGCAGCTAGATCATGTGGTCAATCTTCAATTACTCTGGTAATTGGGCAGCTCGTTTTAATCACGACGAGGTTTGCGCCCACTTCCTCTCCCCCCTTTTTCTCCCTATAGGCTGCTTTACTGTAGGGTTTATGCCCCCGCCCCTCCCCCTCAAGGCGTTTCGTGAATTGGCACACTAGCACTCGGGATATCTGCGCTAGCTGCGCTTCGGACATACATATATCCTCCTCCGGCTGCCACTTTCCTCCAACCTTTGATCACAAACCATTTTCTGCAGAATACACTTCTTCCCCTACTAGCGGCCCAGTTTTTCGCCTAGTGACATTCGAGACCAAGTCTGAGATAATAATGGCTAGGGTATGCCTGTGGTTCTAGCCATGAGGATTCAAGTACAGGAATTCTTTTAATGTGGGGAGAATTTTAGGCAAGAATGATTAGTGAGGCCTAAAAACCATTTTCGACTTATAATTAAAACCTACTTCCTTCAGTTTAGTAGGCATACTTCCCGTTTTCTTCCGCCGCGGATTCACTAAGATGCAGAAGTTGGTTCGAGAGCCGGTTTTCGTCCTCCTTGGACTCAAACGTTTCCCCGCTCTTCCCTGAACACTGTCTCAGTGACTCTACCCAAGGTCTGCGGACACCCACCCCCACTTACGCGCGCTCGCCGTTGTTCCAATTGGGACTAGTAATAATATTAAAAATGCGCCTCACTGACTTCACCCGAGGTCACCTTCCACCCCCCATCTTAAACGCACTCACCTTCGTCCGAGGTCAACGCACACGTCCCATCTTAAAAACCCTGACCTTTAGTGACCTCGCCCGAGGTCAGAAAACACACCCCAACGTAAACGCGCTCGCCGTTGGTCTAGTTGGGGGGTAATAATGTTAAAAAATGTTAAACAGTAAGCCCACTAAACAGAAGGAAGTAGTTTTTCATTATAGGTCGAAAATATTTTTTTGGCCTCACTAATCATTCTCGCCGAATTTTAATATTGGTTTTATCCGTAGGAAAGACAGAAGTGCTAAGTAACGTAAGCTGCAGGAAACATTCAGAAAACTCAACTATCGGCTATTTGTTGTTCTATTGCTCCTACTAGATAACGGAACAAATAGACTAATTTGACAGATGTAAATTGTGTAAACGAAGAGAAAACAGATAATACAAGATAAGGGGGGTAAAGAGGGCAAGATTCGAAAAAACAGTGTATGATAGGCATATATTTACCCCTTATCTTTAAATTAAGCCTTAACTTAAACCTCACTCTCATCGTAATAAGCTCCATAAGTTTAACCGCATATTAGGATAGTAAAAAACGAGGGGCTATGTATTCCGTTTTAAGCGTTTAAGTTGCCGTGCTAGGGCATTGTCCATTGAAAATGTCAAATTAATAAAGTATGTGAATTCTGATTTGCCGGTCCATATTCGTAGAAGTGTTTGCGTCAAGACTTAATCGCTACTGAAGCAACCTTCACAGCTGACTGAATTCAGGTAGAGGCTATCCCATCTAATGAATACCATTGAAGCAAGGGAATCGGTTATATGTCTCATCCCGCAGGACAGAAGACTAGGAACGCCGCCAACCCCGTGTTGAATATACAAAATACGCTACTAAATCCCGTGTCATAACTGTAACACTGATTCGAAACAAAAGCGAACTCATAAGCCAAAGCTTAACCATCAATATTTTCTTAAACTTACCCATAACCTTATCACTTCCCGTTGCCTTAACCTTTATTAAGCCTCAACCTAACGTAGATCTTCATCCCAACATTTATGAATTTAGCACAAGACAACGCTATCGTGGGGAATTACAATAAGCCCGCATTCCCAGAGTGCCACATAAACTATTTTTACCCAACGAAGTCCAACATTGATCTGTAAGTGCTGGATAACTGAATATTCATTGGGCCCTTGAACATTATTTTGCTCATCTGAGGCAATGAGATATCTGGTCATTTGAAGCACCTGGATGTTGCCTGTTAAGAGACTCTGGGACGTAAGTTTTTATGCTTTACTGTAATCTTTAAGACAATACTTTAAGAAGCGTGTTCTTCGGTATCTGGGTTAGTGTTAAGAGTTCAGGACAATCTTCGGTCAGTTTTAAAAAGGGACTTTAAAAGACTAATGCTACTTGGTTCAGTATTTTTCCTGTTTCAACACATCTGCCAAAGAATTTGTTGCAAAGACATTTCGGCTGAAACGCAATACACCGCCAAACTCAGGAAACAAAGTACGGGTGCGATTGCAATACGGGACCAGCGGTACTAAGGTTTTTGCGAGTGGGGCTACTTGATGGTAAGGAGTACGCGATAAAATGTTAATTTTACAAAGTTTGTTTTATTTCAAAAAGGATTATTTGAATTAATTTTTTGACCTTGAAGGCCACCCGGGAAATTAAAAGTGCCGCTAAAAATGGCCAAAAATACTAAAGGTGAAATAAACAAAGATCCCAAAATAGCTATAACTGGAAAACCAATTAATCGACTAAGTAACCATGTGTTACAAGGGTATAGCCGACGCGTTATGCAACTTAAAACAGCTTCATCGAATAAACCAAAGTGGTGGTGCTAATTCTGAGTCGAGAGTTGCAGGAATGCCAGAGAAGGAAGATAATGGCTCAGTCGGCGGCAACCTAAACCGAACCGAAGTTAAACAGTTCTACTTTTTACAATATAAGTATATAGGTTTGAGCATAATTTTTTGTTTTATTGTGTCTTCAAATAAATGTTTATAAAATTTGCATCTAGCTGTCCCGATCCAAAGTGAATTGGATGATTTCAAGGGCAGACTTTATTGATTAGGGCGAATTCTCGACAATAAAAACTATTTGAATAGATTAATTTTATATATTCTTCATATTCTTCACTGAAACCTCTTTTGTCATAGGTTAGACATGTCTATGGGGACAGAAGTGATTTCTAGTTGACCTAGTAGAGAAAAGTTGGACAGCTGTCTTGAGATTGGGTTCTAGAAATTGGTAAAATTACACACAGCGGGACGGAGTGCAGTCTTCTTTTTCTTTTTGGCATTCAGTTCCGCATATTTTGCCATAAGAATGGCAATCACTCGAGGGTCACCCCAAACGAAGGCTTCATCCAGTGGGGTAGTACCTATATTAAGACAAACAGTGGGGAAAACACGTATATTAGAGGCTTTGGACAGCTCAACTCCCATCGCTATTGACGAGACATAACATTTCTCATTAAAAAGGTCACGAAATAAGGCAATTTTGAACCGAGATGTTTTTTTTAAATCTGACTTTGTCACAATATACGCAGCTTAACCAAGGATTCAGCATGAACTTGAAGCGGTTAAATGATGTGATGTTGTGAAGTCTCGCAGCTGTTGATCTCGGCGTCTGGGAATAGCCAATCACAGCTGCCGCAAAGTTTGTTTCTGGCCCGGCAACGGATAAAAAGCCTGCACGCGTGAACGCTGTCTCTCTGGGCTGCGGGGATTCCTGCAACGAAGCCGCACTTCGGATCACGCCGCTCTAGAGGAAGGTCGTGCTCTACTTAGTCAATCTTCTTCCCTATTATTCTTCGTTCTTCTGTTTACGCAATATACTGTTCCTTCTATTCTGGTCTGAAGATCGCAGTTGCTAGGGTTCAGCTTACTTAACCGTTGCTCATGTGGCGGTAGACTAACAATCGAAACAAACAACAGCAACCGGGCAACATTCTTCTGGAGTGTGCAGTTAAAGGCACACCGAAGCGACACGGGCACTGCCTGGGCAATATGGCACGATATCGTAGGACGACTGCACTGTCTGCCACAAGGCATCAAGAATTAACCGAGCATTAGGCGTCTGCCTCTTCCATGCTCTAAGTTCGCCAACGTCGGCAA